AGAGAGCGTGTTCATGTATTGTTCAACTGGGGCGGCTCAACTTCTGCACACTTCTGTTCGTGTTGTTTTCAATGTTGGCGCAGAGTGCTTGCGTTCCGCATCATGGCCGTCATCATCTTCCAACCTTCTTTCCGTTTTCCTGTTTCTACCCTATTAGCTGGTGCTGTTCTTCTACGGGGTGGCCTATCCTAGGAGATGCGAATGAGAGGTCGAGTATGTCACGGGGTCCTGGAAGCGAGGGTAGGGGGGGAAGGCACTGGCGCTCCGGGTGAAGGAGTGGGTGGGACAGAGCAGTGGTATTGGGGGAGCTGTCCGTGGATTTGGAGGGTTTGGGGTTCCCTCTGGTGCCACGGTTACTTTACTTATCATTTTTGCGTGTCAAGCTTTCAATACGTTGAAGGTCTGGAGGGTCAGTGGGATTCGGGCCATATCTTAAGCCTCCAGCTGCTGTTCGGGACGATTCCGGCACCCCCAGCACGCTCTCGGCGGGCCATATATCTCGGGCCTGCAGCTGCTGATCGGGACGATCCGGGCACCCAGAACAATCTCGGCGAGGCGCAGCTGCCAGAACAGAACGCCCTCAGGCTGGCAAGCCCCCTTTCGGGAACCGACGAACACTCTCCTGAAGACCTCGGAAGGGAAACGGTCCCCGGAGGCCCCGACCCTCTCCGAGGGCCGGTCTTGCCGCCCCGAGTCGTCTGCGGACGGTCCCCGGGGCCCGGCGAGGGCCCCCGGAGGCCGAAGAAACGGCCAACAGCCTCCCGTCGTGATGCGTCCGCGGCCCGAGCACGCCCGGAGCTCCGCCTCGCCGACCTGCGCGACCGCGCGGCCGCGCGAAGCCCCACCGCGCGGCCAGGCGTGGCCGCCACCGCCGCGGCCGCAGTGCTGCTGCGGGAGGCGCCGGCGCCGCGGCGGCGGAGGCGCGCGCGCCGCAGCCGCCGCCGCCGTCGCCGCCGCGCTCGGAGGCCGCGGGAGGCCCTTCGGAGGCCCTGCGCAACGCCTCTGGAGAGGCTCCGGGGGCCGTCCTCGGACGTTGCGTGATGGGGGGCGCGTAGATGGGGGGCGGTAAGAATGGGGGTGCACCCCCAGCGAGGGCTGCAGAAAAGGGGCCCTTTAGGGTCCTTGAAGGGGCCCTTTAGGGCCCAGAAGGGGGCGCGTCGGATCCGAAAAGGGCACCTTTTCTCCCTCTCCATTTATCGCCCCCCCTTAAATTGCGCCCAACGTCCTCGGACGTCGGACGTTGCGTGATGGGGGGCGATGAATGTCGGCCGCGCGCAGACAGGGGGTAGGGGTAGGGGGGAAGGCTTCTTAGAAGCACCCCTGCTTCTTAGAAGAGGCGGGCCTTGTCTGTAGATACAGGGCCGGCGCCTGCTAAGAAGCAGCCTCCGCCCCTGGAGGCCCAAGAGGCGCGCCTTTCTTCCCCCCTCCGTGTATTGCCCAGCCCCCAGATGTGCAATGCACTACTTCCCGGGGGGGGGGGGGGGGCTTCTCGGAGGGCCTCTGGGAGTATCGCGCCGCGCCGACGCAGCAACTGCGGCGCCGCCGTCGTTCCCGCCGCCGCGCCGCCGCCACCGCCACCGCCGCTGCCGTCGTCGTCGTCGTCGTCGTCGTCGTCGTCGTCGTCGCCGTCGTCGTCGTCGTCGTCGTCGTCGTCGTCGTCGTCGTCGTCGTCGTCGTCGTCGTCGTCCTCGTCGTCGTCGTCGTCGTCGTCGTCCTTCAGGTTGGGCCTCGGCGATGGCCGTTCCGCCGCAACGGGCAACGCAGGCCCGTCGCATCACATGAGCTCGCGTCGCAATGCAGATGCAAGCCTGTTCAGTCGAGTGAGTGTTTCGCGCCATGCCCTAGAAAGCATTGTGCAGTTTGGGCTGTTCAGCAGCGCCTCAGTGGCGTTTCACTGGGATGATGCTCGGCTTGCTCCTGGCTTGGCCGCTACTATAATATGGTCAAGCGTCTTGCCCCTCCTGGGCTGTAGGCCATTCGCCCACGTCTTGCTGCTCTATCGGTTGGCTCCTTTCGTCGCTTTTTTTCATCATCCTTGCTCCCTCCCTCCGTGCCCCACGATAAGGCATCTTGCGGTAAGACGTCTAGGGGCACATCCTTCCTCGACTGTGAGCTCTGGCAGGGCGCCCTTGGCACGGGGACATGAGAAGCTCCCTCGTGGAGCAGCCAGTGGCAGGTGCGTTTCCTTCTCGGTGCGCCTCCCGTACCCTCGGCCGTCCTGCTTCCTCCCATTTCCCTCCTTCCTCCTTGTCGTGTGCGCCTTCAGCGTTCCCCCTCGCCCTTCCCCTTCTCTGGTTCCCTTGGGTGTCACCACCCCTCCTCAGCTTCCCGACCTCCGCGCGCCACGGCTTCCCTTGGCACGCCCCCCGCGCCCACGGCTTCGGCGCGAGCCCCGTGCGTGCGTCTGGCCAGAGCCCGAGCGCGCGAGCGCGAAGCCCGCGCGCGTGTGCTTCTTCTGAAGCAAACGGAGAGCACAACAGTGGTTGCTGACTCGTCCTTGCCACCGGTCCCTCAGTAGCACGGAAAAGCCATTGGTTGTTGACTCGTCATTAGTTGAGTCAAACGGAGAGCACGCCATTGGTTGTTCATTCGTCATTACCTGGGAAAAGCAGTTAATCACATATAGACAGCACTTGCAGAGGCCCAGTTGCAAGGCCCAGTGCCAGAGGCGGAGAAGCTGTGTCACCTTGCGTTCTGCGGGGCGGGTGGCGGTGGCGCGGGCCTAGAAAGGTCGGGACTTTGGGGGATGTGCGCACTTCTCGAGGTCTGCAGGCGCCAGCCTCGGTGCACACCGCTTGACTTCCCCACGCCCTGCGGCACCGTGGCAGTCTGGACCCCCCTGCCCTGAAGGGCTACGCACCCCCACCTTTCCAGCTGGATCTCTTCCCAGCCGCCCTCAACATGAGCGCCCCCCCCAAAAAAAAAGACGGGGTCGTCTTCACCGACATAGGCACGTAAGCTGCCCGCGTGAGCTCGCGCAAGAGCCCTCGTTTCCAGTGTAACGTGCCGCGCTGGCGGCCCGCGTGAGCCGCCGCATACGGTCGCTACGTGACCTCGCGGAGGACCCGCTTTCGATCGTCGCTCGCACGCAGGCCTTCCTCGCTGCGCTCACGTGCTGACTGCTGGTGCTCCTCTCCCCGACGCAGGCGCGGCGCACCGACGCCACTGCCGGGGCAAACGGGGAGGAGGGGCCCCGGGGAGGCCGACGCCCCGCAGGAGGCCCGGCCTGGAGCTAAGTACAAAGCCCCCGCCAGGGGCCCCGCTGCCGCCCGGTGGCGGGGGCTTCGGGGGCGGGTCACGTATCCCTCGCTCGTTGAAAGTAGGTATTTCTGGAGTCCCAGATTCCACTCTACTTTAAAAAAAGCGCCTTCCTACTTCCATGTTCGAGTGGCCTCACCTGTCTTGCCCTCCTTTTGGGGGGCGGGCGGATACCCACTCTACGTGCAGCGCCTTCCTATTTCATGCTTCTGCCTGCCTCTTCCGACCGACGGGTATCCGTATCCGCGGCCTCGCGGGCCGGGCCCCAGGGGCCGTGACCCCGCGGATGCCGGGGCGGTTTTTTGTGCGCGGATGCCCCGCGCGGAGCGTATATCGTTGTGCGGCCACGTGGCCGCGGGAGCACGCCCCCCCGGAGTCCAGGACGCGAGGGCGCGGGTACGGATAGGTTCGCCGCTCGTGAGTGGCAGGCCCAGATCTCAGACGACGTTTTTTAGGTCAGCCGGTGTTAAGTCGGGCCTATCCTCCAACAGGAGGAATATTCCAAAATAGTCAGAAAAATGCGGGCATGATTTTTCATTATTTTTGATTATGTTTAGGTAGTTTTTGACTACGTTTTATGTTTCGTCCAAAATCCGCCTGTAGGAGGACATGCCCGACCGAAAGCCAACGTTGTTTGCATTGATTTCGGCCCTCGGGGGGCCGGTTTCGGGCCCCGGGGACACGCAAACAGATGATCTGGGACGGGCAGCTGCCTCTGGGGAGGCGGCAGGCGGTCGGGACCTCTCTGGCGCCGCGGCTTGGAACCAAAAGCAGGACGGCGCACGCCTGGGGAGTCAGCAGCCGGGGGCAGACCACTGGCTGTAAGGCGCTCCAGGAGGAGCCCCTCGGCTTCGGCGCGTCCTCGCCGTCGGTGGAGCTGCACGGCGGCGGCTCCGCCGTCGGGAGGCGACGGGAGCAGAGCGGAGGCGCCAACATTTTTGGGCTTCCGCTGGGTCAGCCGCCGTTCGGTGCCAAAGTCACTCCACGTCGTCGTCGTCGCCGTCGTCGCCGCCATCGTCGTCGCCGTCGTCGTCGCCGTCGTCGTCGTCGCCGCCAGCTCCGCCATCGTCGTCGCCGTCGTCGTCGTCTCCGCCATCGTCGTCGCCGCCATCGTCGTCGCCGTCGTCGCCGTCGCCGTCGCCGCCGTCGTCGTCGTCGTCGTCGCCGCCGCCGCCGCCGTCGCCGTCGCCGTCGCCGTCGCCGTCGCCGTCGCCGTCGCCGTCGCTGGCGTGCGTCGGCGTCGGCGTCGGCCCGATGCGAGGCCCTGCCGTGAGCGCGAGGCGGGTGCGCGGCGCTCGCCGGCGCGCGGGCTGGGCGCCTCGAGGACGCGCGCGGCCGCGTTCCTGTAGCCGCTGGGCGCGCCCCGCCAAAACGTCGCGGCCGCCCCGCGGGCGGGCCGAGGCCGACGACGACGACGACGACGACGACGACGGCGACGACGACGACGACGACGACGACGACGGCGACGAGGACGACGGCGACGACGACGACGACGACGACGGTGACGGCGACGACGGCGACGACGACGACGACGAGGTCGTCGACGACGGCGGCTTCGACGACGACGACGACGTCAACGACGGTGACGACGGCGACGACGGCTGAGTCGTCGGCGGCGGCGGCGAAGATGACGACAACGACGTGGGGGTCTTCGGCACCGAGCGGCTGACCTGGCGGAAGCGCTGAGCCTCAACATGTTGGCGCCTCCGCTCTGCTCTCGTCCTCTTCTGCCAGCGGGGTCGCCGCTGTTCAGCTTCGCCGCCGACTTTCGCGATAGGCGAGGACGTGCCAAAGCCGAGAGGCCCCTCTTGGAACGTCCCACAGTGAGTGGCATGTGACATGGACCGCTGGTTTGGAATTATGGTGGCGCTTGGTGGTGCCAGCGAGCTTGAGGGTGCCACAACTGTTTTAGATTGGTTGAGCGCCTGTTGAGGATCGCCAAGGGTAGCCAGGGGGCTCCAACTTCTCAATGCCCCCTCGGTAGGTTGCTGTACACACACATCATTGACCCTCTGAAAAAAAACGGCAAGCCCCCTTCTCGCTGCAGGATTGCTGGTGCACCATGAGCTCACCAATGGTTCGCAGAGAGAGAGAGAGAGAGAGAGAGAGAGAGAGAGAGAGAGAGAGAGCGAGAGCTCGCGCTCTATAATGCTTGGCGCCCCCCCTGCCCATTCAACCTGCGACTCTAGGGGTTGCAGGCGAGGGCGGGCTCTGGGCTTGGAGATCATGGTGGTGCGCTGGTGGAGTGGTTGTGGGAGGGTTTGGATGTTGAGCGACATGGTGTCCGAGAATTGGAGGCTCTGGGTACCATGGTCCATGGGCTTGGAAGTGGTGGGGTTGAGGGTGGGGACGGGAGGCGCGCGGAGTTTGAGTTTAAGGGCTGCCGTCTGATTCAATAGAGGAGGGACGCGCAGAGATCCAATGAGCCAGTGGGAGATTGTTCTATCGTGCGGGCGGGTGCTCCTGGGCATGGCCACGCTCCTCTTCGCTCCGCCTTGCTGCTCAAGCTTGGCGGCAAGGCCAGACCCACGCTGCGGCCAAACCCGCTATGCATGGGCAACGTCTCGCCGTTGCTGCGCCCAGGGTAATTAGGGAGGGGAGCGCAGGAATAGGAAAAGGAGGAACAGTATCACCACATGTGAGGGAGCGGAGAGAAGGGGGTGTGAGGGAGCGGAGGGAAGGAAGGGACGAAGGGAGCATTGGAGGTGCGCGGTAGAGCGCAGGGGGTGGATTGCCATCACGCGGCGGGGCACGACGAGGCCGGAACAACACTGCCAGCCCCTCCCCCTCCCCGCGCGTGCGCTCCTCGTTCTCGCAGTTCCGTGCCCCATTCCACTCAGTGTTGGTTTTCCGCGGGCAGCTATTCTCGACACGTATCCTTGTACGTGCTAGGAGGTTGTATCAGATGGGGGTCCGATCTCTCCCCCACGCGCATCTATCACTGACGCCAGTACGTGCAAGCAGTTTGGGTGCACGGTGCACGCTCGTTTTTAGCATCTGATAGCGCCTCAGCTCTTCTGAAAAGGCTCAGGCGTGAAACTCTTCTGAGGTAGTGCTGGGATTTCGGTCTCCGACTCCCGCTCCCCTATTTCCCCTTCAGTTCGCCCCCCTCCGTACCATCCCTCCCTCCCACATCACCCCCTCCTCTGAGGCATATATCCGAGTATATTTACACAGCTGCAGTTCCACGTACGTTGCGCGATCACGAGACATGTCATTGACTGCCTAACGCGGTCATCGACATGTCATCAATATGACGTATGGCGGCGACTCCGATGATGCGAGGTATTCCCGTAGCGAGGGACATTCACGTCCCAGGTCCGACATTGTGCGTGGGACATCGGGCCAGGGATGCTTGTACGTCTGTGGCGCCTCGGGCTCCTGGGTTGTCTGGGCCGAGGCCGCTGGAGGTGGGACGTCTGCAGCGATCTTGAGCCTGGGATGGGGCTGGCAAGGATTGGTGTGATCGTACAGTTGGCACCTCCCGAGTTTTCGGTCTGAGCCACGTGTCGTCCGAACCTCTGCCGTCTTGGTTCCTGGCCGTCCTGGTTCTTGGTTCTTGGTTCTTGGTTCCTGGTTGTCTCTGCCGTCTAGAGTCTGGGCCGACATGGTTTGTGTCCTTGCCCCTCCCCTCCCGCCCGCCTCCCTCTTCTCCCCCTTGAAGATGCTGATGATTAGGGTGTGGATGAGGATGAGGATGAGGGTGATGGTACAGTAAAAGCCATGCCAAGAAACACCCTGCTTGCCTCCAGGGTGCTCTGGGTTTCTTGAGTTTCGATGGTTTTCCGATTGAAGGCGTGACCCTCCCACACTACATGCCCGCAGTTCCACCCCTACTCCCGCGCTTGTTTCACACAGTTTCTGGTGCTCACCGCGTGTGGAGTCCGAGGCGGGGATGTATCCATAATCACCGCCTGTGGGATCGATCGGGGGGGGGGAAAGGGGGGGCGGGGAGGAGGGGGAGGGGGAGGAGGGGGAGGAGGGGGAGGAGGAGGAATGAGGAGGAGGAGGAGACCGAGGAGGAGGAGGAGGAGGAGGAGGAGGAGGAGGAGGAGGAGGAGGAGGAGAAAGAGGAGGCCGAGGAGGAGAAGGAGGAGGAGGAGGAGGAGGACCTCGGCAGGCGGCGGATATGGACAGATTCGGGCCCCCTGCGGCGGGCAGAGTGTGTCCACGTCCACCGCCCGCCAGGGCCCCAGGTCGGTGTGGGTCCCGGGCGGTGGCGGCTGATGAATCACCGCCTCGCAGTGGAGGCCATTGTCGCTGGGGGGTGTCCGTTTTTGTTGTTGTGCATATGTACACATAAAACACATACACACACGTTGTTGTTGTTATTGATGTTGCATTGGCTGTTGCTGTTGTTGTTTTTGCTGCTGCTGTTGGTGCTGTTGTTGTTGTTGTTGGTGGTGTCGTCGGTGTTGTTGTTGTTGTTGTTGTTGTTGGTGCTGTTGTTGTTGGAGGACAACAAGTCAAGTAACAACAAAACAAACGCGACAAGGAGGCAGGGCCAATAGCAGTAAGGCAGCAGTCCAGCATAGGAAACTGCACAGCATGCCCCCCCCCACGGGGGCCAGCGCCCCCCACGGGGGCCAGCGGACGTCGCGGCGTTCAGGCTTTCGGGCATCGTCTTCACAGGGAGGCACGGGACCACAGCTCAAAGGCAAGGACCGATCACAGGCTGTTCATCTTGGTTCGGGCCTTTGCTTCGTTTTTCGTGTCTTGTTTCGTTTTCGTTCTGCTTCGCTTGTTTGTTGCGTTGACGCCTCGTTCCGTGGTTCGTTTCATGTTGCACCGGCCGGTTTCGATTGACACGTTCGTTTTGAATTGTGGGCTCCGTTTCGATGTTTGTTTCACACGCCATTTTGTTTGAAACATCGTTGCGGGCAGTCCTTACTCAAAAGGTACATTTCAAAGACATGTCCAGATTCTTGGAAAGCGCTGAGGTGGGGGATGGCGAAATTTACTTTGTTTGCTTGGGAGCAGCTATTGGATTGGGCGCTGGTCAGCATTTCGCGCTCAGATGCCGCCAGGCGCCTCCCCTGGTCGTCACAGCCAGGCGTGGCTAGGCAAATTGGCAAGGGTGATGCTCAGGACGTCCGCGGGTAGATGTTGAGCGGGTTGTATTTGGCAGCGGCATGCGTTGCCTGGTCCAGGCTTCTGGTGCATTCTTGGCTCAGGCTTTGGCATTGTTTGGGCATGCTTCTTTCTGCATTGCGCATTGTATGTGTAGTTACGTTTCGAGGTCACCTGCCAACTGTTCCCGACACCAGAAGCAGCTGTGGGGTATTTCTTGGCGTTGGCGTTCTCCGAGTGGCGCTTCTCGGCTCAGTCGCTTGGCACTTCCGAGGTGCATCGGCTGCTCGGGCCAATTACTTGGACTTGTCTGTCCAGGTCTTTAACCACAGCGTTGAGCCAACGAAGTTAAACGACGATGGGAGCTCGTTGATTCAAGTGCCTGGGTTGCGCGCTGCATCCCAGTCGTCTGAGTGCCCTCAGCAAGCTGGACAGCATTGGACCGACTATTGTAACCTTGAGACCACGTCGAAGTCATTTGCAATCTCTTCCGATTGCAAGCGTACCCAGTATTCAGCTGCCTACGGCAGACCCGCTACCGTGCCAGTGCAACATCGAGAGATACACCCAGGATGACTCTATTCTGCGACGAGTTTCGGTGCCTTCTGGCGCCAATTGCGCTCTTTTGCAGTCTTGGGCCCGATGGCTTCCCCAGGAGAAGTCATGATATAACCATATTGGCGCTATCTGAAAGGCTATGAGGGCCTTCTTGGGGACATGCACTGGGAGCATCATGTGGGCTTTGTGGGGCTCTGGGTAGCTTGGTGGGGGCTTCGAGGGGCCTCCTGAGGGACTTTTCAAGCTCTACGGGAGCGTCTGGGAAAGGGACGTGGGCCTTGGCGGCGACTGGAAGTTTTGCTGGGGGGCATTCTTTGGGCCTTTGGGGGGTCGCCCCAGGGAGCAGAGGAAAGCGCCAGCTACGAACAGGCAGGGGGCGGTTTTCAATGACGTGCTAGGCTGAGCGCGGCTTTCGCCCCTGGAAACTACAGAACCCTCCCCGGACAGCCCGGGCGTATTTTTACATGCCCCAGCGCGCCGAGGGGTGCAGGGCGGCGGATTCCAGCGGCGTCTCTGACTCTGAACACGCTGCAGTGCAGCATTGTGGGCACGATTGCTCGGTGTATGATTCTATAGGCTTGCGCCACACATCCGCCGACCGCTTGGTGTTTCGCAGGCAAGCGTGTCGGGCGCCCAAGCATTGGTAGCAGGGGGCAGCGCCTACAAGGAAGCGTGATCGGGGGGAAGAAAACTACAGTGTAGCGGCTCCTATGAGGGTCCGAATAGGCCCCCAAGAGAGCCCACGACTGTCCAAGAGTGTTCGAACATGGCCCTCGACGGCCTCAAGACTCAAGGACGGCCTCAAGACGTTGCAATAGGCTCTCCGAGGATCGTCTTGGGGATACCACATCCTTGACCGCTTAATTTTGGACCCCACGGGGGTGACTTGAAGAATATTTGCCGTTTCTCAGAAGTTTGGAGACCTTCAGTGGTCGGCGTACTTCTGCAAGGCGTGGGCATCCGCAAGTCTGTTCTCTTTGGCGCCGTGGAGTAGGAGGCGCAGGAGGAGGATGAAACAGAGGGCAGGAAGAGGAAGATGAGGACGAGGACGAGGTCGAGGACGAGGAGGAGTCTGAGGGAGGTGGTGAGGACGGGCCATGAGGAGGAGGAGGCTCGGCGCAGTCGCTCTGTCCTTCGTCATTACTCGTTTCGTCGCCGCTGGATCGCCGAACGGGGCCTCTGGAGCAGACCGCCATACTCATCGCACTTTTCTTTTTGGGGATGGGCGAGTTTGGGCTTGCCGGGGCCTTTATGGGGAGTCATTTGGGGGCTACAGTCGGGGCGTTGACCTAAGGAACCCTAAACAAGGAACGAGGCGCCTTTTCTCCATAAGTTCAACTGCGATATCCCATCGAAGACCGAAGGAAAACCTAAGGCAGGATGGGGAACAATTAAGGAGCACGGAGCCCCTCCCCAACGAAAAGGGTTCCTTCTTCAGCGCCCCGACTGTATTTTAGGGGTGTTTACGGGGCCTTTGGGGTCCCTCCTGGGCCGTCTGCGGCGCTGGGCGGGCCGCATTGAGGCCATCTTGGGCTGAGCTGGGCCCGCGTTCCGTCATAGGGGCTATCTTGAGCGGTCTTGATCCCGTTTCGGGGTCCTCTTGGGCTGTTTTAGGTGTCTTTTGGGCCGCGCCGGGGCAGTTTGCGGTCTCTCCTGGAGGCCTCTTGTTCTTTCTCGGGTCGCTTGTCTGCTTCTGAAGCAGCTTGCCAACAAATATCAGTGTTCCAAAGGGAATGGGTCAAATTTGGCTTGTTGGGGCCCTCGTGGAGGGAATCTTGGAGGGATCTTGGAGGCTTCGCGGGCTGTCTTGAAGCCATCACAGGGCGACTGGGTGCCATCTGGAACATTCTAGGGACCCGGGCGAGCCATTTCGAAGCCGTCGGAGGCCGTCCATGAGCATGTCTGAGGCTGCCAGGGCCGCTGGGGCCGCCGGCACCTCTCGCCTGGATCCCCCCCCCTCAAAGCTGGCTGGGCGGAGCCCCCGGGGCGGGGGTTTGGTGGAGGGGCAGCAAGCAGTCTCACACGCCATAGGCCCCAAGGGGTCGGCGGATAGCAGCGGCAAGCAATGTTTCAAGTGCTGGAACCCCGAGTCTCTGGTGTTCGACATTGCCGCGGAGGCTTGGGACACGTATTGTGCAGACCAGGAGTCACCGAAATATTGGGTGACCGACGAGAGTTGTGACGTGTGGGGCTGGGGCATCACAGTGGGAGATGCTAAATCTTCTTGCAAGGGTGCGTGTATGCTTCTCGACCATAACGGCGCCAACTGCCCAGCTCGTGGCATCGGCGATCTCAGGGATAAGTTGCACGCTTGTTTGCAGTATCGTCGCGAGTGGTGTTGGGCAACAAGCGTAGCCTTGGTCGCCAACTACTACAAGCCCGACCTGATCAAAATTGTTGATGACAACTGCAGGGGCCTGGAATGTGAAATCGTTGGATCCCTGAACCATCGAGATTGTTGCAGCAATAAAGACGCATGTGCGGATATAAACGGCACTGCGGGCGACATAACAATAGCTCTACATCGCTTCAGCGACCAGCGTTTTAGAGTTTGGTGGTCGAGTCTTTCGCAAGAGCGCTTGCAACAGATCTTGATCGATGGCAATCCCGTTGTCATCGCGATTGATTGGAACACCGGAGGCGGTCATGTCATGCTCATTGGTGGGACAAACGGTCAGGGTGTTTTCTACCTGCATGATCCTATGAACATCGAAGGCGAAGGATCTTTTCAGTCCTTAGCATACGCTGATATTATTGCGTACAGGCCCCCGTACAACAAGCAGCAGACTGGAACGTGGCACGAAACTTACGCCCTTGCAGAGTACGGTTCGTGCACGATGCCCCAATCTGATGAAGAGTGGCAGCGCTATTGCGAGGCAGCGAATCCCAAGGCTTGGGCTTTTAGGGATGATTGCGCAATTTACTATTTTTGGTGGGGCTCTAGTCGCCCAGCCGAGGACGCACTGAACGGGTGCGGCAGCAACTGTCACTTGTACGATCTCAATGGCAAACAGTGCTGAGACGCTTGTCGTGCCGGTGTTCGTCGGCACCGTACTTTGTGTGCATGATCTTTGCCTTCCGCAGACTGGAATTGCTTCCGCATATCGAGTATTATGCGTGTGCACGCGTCCAAGGAATCGTTGTGATTTCTTGGGTCGTCCAGGGGGCAATGGGGCCTTGCTGGAGGTTTGTTGGACAGATCTTGGGCCAATCGCAGGCCGTGTTGAGGCCCCCTTGATAACAAGTTGTCTTATTGCTTTTGACGATTACTTGGCCCTCTTGATTGCCTTGTGCAGTTGGGGCGCGCATCAAGGAACCATCTTCTTTTCGTCAGTGTACACTGGGTTTCTTCGCTCCGCGCGCTGCGCGGTGACTTCCCGCAGCCGTTGAAGAAGCTGCTGCGTTCAGGGTGCTCGGGGTAATCCCTCAGGTGCACCTCGCGCGCGGTTTTTCAGGCTTGGGTTTCTTGCGGCCGCGCCTGCACTGTACGGCTATCTTTTGCAACTTAGGGGCATGACCGCCTTGCGTGCTCTGGCCCATGGCCTAACCGTGGGTCGTGTGTGCGCACTCGAAGCGGAGGGGTGGATGACAGCGGTACGTGCTATGGACAATGAGGGTAGCGTGTGGTTCCCATCAATTAGTGTAACAATGCGCGTTGAACACTGCATTTGGGTCCCAACTGGATGTGGGACCCTATGCTTGTGGACTCCTAGGTGTGTGGGGGGGGGCGCTGCGTGCGCGCGTGGAACCGAATGCGTGTGGACCCAAACCATGCCGACCCGAGCCATAACCAGCACGCGCCATGCCGACCCAGGCGCGAATGGTCGACCACGGCACACAGGATCAATCCCTCAAACTACTTGCGAGAAGCCCCGAGGGATTCCACGCCTGGGAGGACCATGGCCCGTCAACCATGTTGTCGCCGCGTAGGCGCGTCCGCGTTGGACACTCGGACAATTGCTCACAACGCGACGGTGAAGGCTCCCCAGTGAAGCATCGACGTCGGAGGCACGTGGGTGTTCTGAGCGACTCGCCTGGGAGCGCGGCGTATGCGGATGAATCGATCTCAGCGTGTGGGGGAAACCAGGAACACATTCGTCAGATGCCAGAGGGAGCTGAGAGCAGAGTCGCCGGGGAGGGAGGGAGAAGGGCTGTTGCTGGAAGAGGGAAGGGGGGGAAGAGGGGGATAGCGGAGGGGGAGAAAGGCTGTCGATGGAAATGGGCGAGAGGATGGAGAAAGGATGGGAGGGGAGGGGATAGGCGGAGGAGAGCGGAGGCGGGTGTTAGACGCAGTAGGCAGGCATTACCTGATGTTGGTGCAGAGGAGGAGGGGTTAGATGAAGAAGGCCTTCCCTCATAGTGGCACAAGAGGGGGGAGGAGGAAGAGGAGGAAGGGAAGGAGGAGGAGGAGGAGGAGGAGGAGGACGAGGAGCACGAGGAGGAGGAGGAGGAGGAGGAGGAGGAGGAGATGGAGGAGGAGGAAGAGGGGGAGGGGGAGGGGGAGGGAGTGAGGGAGGGAGGAAGGGAGGGCGGACGAGACGGAAAGGTTGGTCCAAGTTGCTTGTCGGCGGTGGCCTCGGCGCCCTTCCACCCCGGTCGCTCCGCCGGGCCCGCCGCAGAAGTGGAGAGGGCGGGCAGGGATGCGCGTGACCCAGCGCCATGGAGAGACACAGCAGCACAAAGGCCAGGGGGCGGGCCTCGAATCTCAGAGCACAAGCGCAAGCAGGACCGTTCGGAGGTCCGCGCGCGGAGTGCTTGGGTCGGCATCGGCGCAGCGCGCCGTGGGGCGCCGCCGCAGGCCCCCGCAAGGGGGGCGCCGGCGCCGACCCGAGAGCTCCGCGCGGGCCTCTGGGAGCTCATGTTTGTCTGGCTCTGTACAAGGAGATTGGCAGTGGTCTTCGTTAGGGGAACAAAAAGTGACATAACCATAAAAACTTGGAGGGCTGGGGCCCCCCTGGCGGTGGGGCCCCCCTGGCGCTGGGGCCCCCCCTGAGACATAAACATCACAAATCGGCGCTGGGGCCCCCCTGGCGGCGCCTCCGGCGCCGCCCCTGGCGCGCTCCGCGCGCCAGGGAGGGGGGTCCAGCGCCGATCCGAGAAATCCGCGCGGACCTCCGAGTTTTTATGTTTTTGTCACTTTTTGCTCCCCTATCCGTGCGTCTTTGTCGGTCTTCAAAGCGAGGAGCAGCTTTTCTGGCTGCCAGTGCCTCTCTCGCCTCCTGCGTGCACCATCTGGCTCGCGCTTTCGGCCGCTCGTTTTTTGGGTGGTCTTTTCGGTGGTCTCGCGTTTGCCGCCCTTCTCTTGAGCCGGAGTTGCGCTGGAGGCAGGGGGACACCCAAAGTCGGAGGTTGATAGACCTCCTACCCTGACACGACGATTGGCGAATTGGCCGTTTTCGGTTCGCGAGAGGGCGTCGCGGCCGTCATTTTTTGCGGGTCTGGGTTCGTCGGTTTCGGTCCTGGGCCGTTTTCACGAAAGGGTGGTTTACTAAAGGGAGGTTTGCCCACCGCCAAAAAAGGGGACTTTTCGTGAGACGACGCGAAGGATCTGGTTGGTCCCATGCCTCCCACTCCTGTCGTTTTCCATTGGAGCGCTTCCGATAGGACCGCGCCCCCAAGGGTGGACGCGGGCGGGTCGCGGCTCGCTCCTGCGCGCGAGCCCAGGCTGCAGGCGGAGGAGAGGAGGGAGCCAACTGAAGAGTCTGGGAGACAAGGATGCCGAGGTTCCTCAGCCTGGCGACCCTCAGCTCCACGGCCGCAGATGGGCTCTCACAGTTTGCTCGGGGCCGTGGCTGGCACGATCAGCGTCGGCTCTCCCCGCCGGGCTCCGACGCGGACTTGTGGTGGAGGATCGGTGTCAGGCTTCGGATGCAGGCTGGTCTCAAGAGCATTGCGTGGTTTACTAGTTCGCGCTTAGAATTCAGTCGGGCGTGTTTCTCTACATGGAGAATATTCAAAAAAGTTAAATAGTCTGGGGGCGATTTTCCATTATTTTTGGACCATTCCCGAGTATTGTTTTAGTAAGTTTAATGTGTCCTTCAAATCTGCCTGTAGGGGGACATGCCCGACCTAAACGTAGAAGCAGAGCACGAGGTTTGTTAGTAAGATCCGAAATTTGTCCTTCTGGGCAGCGCAGACAGTCTCGTTGCTGCAAGAACCCATCTTGCGTTTCTTCCTGAGCACGCGCGCGCAGCAGCCTGATCACTTTAGTCTGTGCACGCGCATCTTTTGGAATCTGTACCTTGGAGGCCATTCGTGCTGAGGAAGACTGAGGAACTCGGAAGGGTGTTAGGCGTGAGCGTCTTGGTGCTACGCAAGCTGTAGTTCGAACCCAGCAGCTAGCGTAGGCACCTTTCAGTTCTCAGCACGGTCAGGGTACACGGGTCAACGCCATTCGTGGAAATACATGAGTGGACGATCTCCTGTGTGCAGGGTGCACGTTGGGTGGTAATCGTACGAGACACAGCATTCGAAGTTTTACAAGTGGCTGGCACCTTGCTCGTGCACTTAAGGGTGTGTTGTAGCTCAGCGGCCAGCAACACTGGGCAATGAGTGCAAAGGGTCTGGCACAGGTAGTCGTAAACAGTACGTATGCTGGTTCCGCTGAGGTGCGTTACCACATGCTCGTAGTACTACAGAGAAGGCGAAGCGACAACCATGTAAGCTGTGCGTGTGTCGAGTCACAAGCGCAGTCGAAGCATCCGCAATTCCGCGACTCTATCCTCTCTTCTCCTCTTGCCCCTCCCGCCTCCCCTCCCTCCTCCTCTCCTCTCTCCTCCTGCTGCTTGCTCCTCGTTTCTCCCCCTCCTCCTCTCCCCCCCTCCTCCTCTCTCATCCTCCCCCTCCCTGCCCCTGCCCCCTTCTCCTCCCGCTCCCTGAGCCCCTGCGCTCTCGCGAAGAGGCGCCGCGCGCGAACCACTCGAAGAACCTGCCCGCGGCCTTCCAGACGCGCGGCGGGGGCCGCCTGCACTCGCCGTCGCCGCACGGAGGCGCCCGCCCCGAGGGGGGCTGCCCCTCCTCCTGCCCTCCGCGGCCCGCTGCTTGTTTTAATGGACCGATGTTCCACCACGACCGCCACCACCACAGGCAGGATGGGAGGAGGAGGAGGAGGAGGAGGAGGAGGAGGAGGAGGAGGAGGAGGAGGAGGAGGAGGGGAGGAGGAGGGGGAGGGGGGAGGAGGAGGTGAGGAGGAGGAGGAGGAGGAGGAGGAGGAGGAGGAGGGGGAGATGGAGGGGGAAGGGAAGGAGGAGGAGGATGAGGAGGACCTCCCCATCATCCCCTTTCCGCTGTGATACATATCCTAGTGGTGGTGGAACATCGGCCCATCATGTGTTGTCCTCTACGCGGACCTCGTGCCCCTACGCGTACGCGCGCGAGGCCAACCGAGTACCCAGATCCCAGAACTCTAGAATCTGCATCTTGCCTCCTCCTCCTCCTCGTCCCCCTCCTCCTCCTCTACCCTCCTTTCTCTCCCCCCTCCGCCCATTTTCCTGCCCCCTCACCCCGCGTCCTCGTCGCCCTCGCCGCCGCAGTCCAAGGCCGCCAATGGAAGGCCGCCGAAGGCCTCTTCCTGCTTCCTGCAACCCTCTCCTCCTCATTCCCCTCGTTCTCCTCCTCAGCCTCTTGCTTCCTCCTCCTCGTACTCCTCGTCCTTCCCTCCACGTCATCCCCCTGACCCTTCCTTGCCTCTCCTCCTCCTCCTCCTCCTCCTCCTCCTCTTCCTCCTCCCCCCCCCTCCTCCTCCTCCTCGTGCCTCCTCCTGGCTTTCGTACTCGGATTCGGACCTCAAGTGCTGATGAGTTCGAAGTGCACTGCGAAAACATTGATGGAAGCAGTTAGAGGCAGAACAGACAGTGAGGAATGGGTGTAGCTAGCTCCTCCAAATACAACCTCTCAGGGCACTAGAAGCCGCACCACCGCACCAGGGGATGCACGGCAACCTGAAGGTCGGTGGGACAATGCGGACCAGAACAACTCCCCTCCCCTCGTTCCCCTCCCCTCTTCATCCCTGCCCCTCTGGTCCTCCTCCGTAGCCTGTCTTTCTCATCTATTGGGGGCTCCCGCTCTTCTCCTCCCGCTTCAAGCAGTAGCAGCCGCAGTGGAAGCAGGAGCTCTGAGGCGGTGACCTGGACCTGCCTGGGCGCGCTCCACCTCCCCTGCGCAGCCCTCTGCCGTCGGGCGCTCTCCACGATATGTTGGCACCTCTGGCGTCTGGAGGCGCTGGACAGATCAGCCGCGTGAGCCGATTTCGGCATCTTCCACTCACCAACCTGGGCGGTGGCCACACCGTGTGGCAAGTCACTTCTTGTCAATGGGGGTCACCGCACGGTTTTGGGACTCGGGTCGCTCTCCGAGGGCGTCTCGGGCGATCCCGGCCTCTGGGGTCCCAGCACAGGCGGGGTGACGGACCGCGCGGCGAGGTCGTTGGGGATTCAGAGGTCACCACGCGGTCTGTCACCACACGGTTTTTGCCCCCCCCTGCCCCCCCCCCCTCCCCCCCGATTCGCCCCCTCCCGCCCCTGTTCGTCCGACCCGACCCGCCACTGTGGGACTCGTCGAGCGGCTCTCGTCTCCTCCTCCTCCTCCTCCTCCTCCTCCTCCTCTCCTCCTCCTCCTCCTCCTCCTCCTCCGCCTCCTCGTCCTCATCTTGCGTCTCCCTCCTTCCCCCCTTGTCCTGGTCTCGCGAAACTCATCCTCATCCTCTCCCTCCTCGCCCTCATCCTCATCATCATCCTCATCCTCGGTCGATCCGCCACCTCCTCCCCCCCAAAAAATCGATTCCCATCCTCGTCCTCATCCTCGTCATCCCTGCAGTCTCCCGGCCCTCTCCCATGGCAAGCGTGCGATCGCGGAAGCCCTCCCTGCGCGCTCGCGCCCCAGGGGGCCCGGGAGGGAGGGGGGGGTGACGAGGAGGCTGCGCGGGGCCGGCGGTTCGGAGCCGGGGCCATGCGGCCAGGTCGCGCCGTCCCCGCGCGGCGGCGGCGCAGGCGCGGGTGTGTGCAGGGCCGAATCCGCCCGAGCAGACTATATGCTCGAGCTCGTTGGCCCACGGATGCAGGTTGGCCCACGGCCGCTCGTTTCTCGAGGCGGCGCTGAAGAGCGAGGCCGCCAAGACCTTCCACACACACACACACACATTTTGTACTATACCCAAGATGCCCGGGGGGGGGTCAAGAGTCTTGGTCGTGGGGCCTGGTTTTGGCATTCGAAGCGTGACCCTGGGCGATGGTCCGGGTCACGTGTCTGGTATCCACATTCCCTCCCTGGGGCCTGGTTTCTATATGCTGAGCGTGGCCCTCGGGCGGCGAAGCCTGACTGGGTCGGGGAGGGTGCGGTGTACAAGAGAGTCTCGAGGATCGAAAGCCCCTAACGTCTCCCGGGTACACACGTGGAGGACATGGCCACGACAGATGTTCGATCCGCAGCGAGCGCGGCCGCACAACGGGATCGGAGAGCCGGCTGGCCGCGCCCGGGGCTGCGGACACACACACAGACACACACAGACACACACAGACACACACACACAGACACACACAGACACACAGACAGACACACACACAGACACACACAGACACACACACAGACACACACAGACACACACAGACACATACAGACACGCACAGACACACACAGACACACACACAGACACACACACAGACACACACAGACACACACAGACACACACAGACACACACAGACACACACAGACACACACACAGACACACACACAGACACACACAGACACACACACACACAGACACACACAGACACACACACAGACACACACACACACACACACAGACACACACACAGACACACACACAGACACACACAGACACACACAGACACACAACACACACACACACACAGACACACACACAGACACACACACACAGAGACACACAGACACACAGACACACACAGAGACACACAGAGACACACAGAGACACACAGAGACACACAGAGACACACAGAGACACACAGAGACACACAGAGACACACACACAGACACACACAGACACACACAGACACACACAGACACACACAGACACACACACACACAGACACACACAGACACACACAGACACACACAGACACACACAGACACACACAGACACACACAGACACACACAGACACACAGAACACAGACACACACAGACACACACAGACACACACAGACACACACAGACACACACAGACACACACAGACACACACAGACACACACAGACACACACAGACACACACAGACACACACAGACACACACAGACACACACAGACAGACACACACAGACACACACACACACACACACACATAACACACAGACACACACACAGACACACACACACAGACAACACACACACACACACAGACACACAGAGACACACACGACATAACACAGACACACAGACACACACAGACACACACAGACACACACAGACACACACACAGACACACACACAGACACACACACAGACACACACACACAGACACACACACAGACAAACACAGACACACACGCCGACACACACACACAGACACACACGCAGACACACACACAGACACACACACACAGACACACACACAGACACACACAGACACTTACAGAGACACACACAGACACACACAGACACACACACAGACACTTACACACAGACACTCACAGACACACACACAGACACACACACAGACACACACAGACACACACACAGACACACACAGACACACACGCAGACACACACACAGACACACACACAGGCACACACAGACACACAGACACACAGACACACAGACACACAGACACACACAGACACACACAGACACACAGACACACAGACACACAGACACACAGACACACATACACACAGACACGCAGACGCACAGACACACAGACACACAGACACACAGACACACAGACACACATACACACAGACTCGCAGACACACAGACACACAGACACACAGACACACAGACACACAGGCACACGGACACACAGACACACAGACACACAGACACACAGACACACAGACACACAGACACACAGACCCGCAGACACACAGACACACAGGAAACACAGGACACACAGACCACACAGACACACAGGACACCACAGACACACAGACACACACACAGACACACAGACACACAACAGACACACACACACAGACACACACACAGTACACACATAACACACCAGAGACACACCACAGACACACACACAGACACACACAACAGACCACAAACAGACAGACACCACAGACAAACACAGACCACACGCAGACACACAAAGACACACAGACAGACACACATACAGACACACACACAGACAACACACAGACACACACACAGACACACACGAACCAACAGACACACACAGTCACACACAAAGACACACAGACACACCCACGCAGCCACACACACAGGACACCACACAGAGGAACACACAGACACACACACAGACACCCACACAGACACACACAGACAACACCAACAGGACACACACACAGGCACACACACACAGACACACACAGACACACACACAGGACACACCAGACACACACAGACACAAACACAGACACACACACCAGACACACACAGAGACACACACACAGACACACACACACAGACACACACACACTGACACACACACACAGACACACACAGACACACACACAGACACACACAGATACACACACAGACACACACACAGACACACACACAGACACACACACAGACACACACACTGACACACGCACACAGACAGACGCACACAGACACACGCACACAGACTCACGCACACAGACACACGCACACAGACACACGCACACAGACACACACACAGACACACACACAGACACACACAGACACACACAGACACACACACAGACACACACACACACGGACAAAACACACACACACACATCACACAAAACACACGCACGCACGCACGCACGCACACACTCATACACACAAACACACACACAGACA